TTTATTCCCAACTCCTTACAAGATTTTCACTTAGGAGAGCCTGGCTGGCTCAGTCGGTAGAGCGTTTATTCCCAACTCCTTACAAGATTTTCACTTAGGAGAGCCTGGCTGGCTCAGTCGGTAGAGCGTGCAACTCTTGATCTCAGGGTCATAAGTTTGAGCCCCACATTGGGGGTACAGTTTATTTTTAAAAAGAATTTTTTTTTGCTTAGTTAATTAACAAATATGGTAAGACCCCGCTACACTCAAAACACTGTGGTAGATATAAGGAAGAAAGAAATGTATAATGTTAGCACTCATGATGGTATGAAGAATGACGTAATTATTGATGACAACTATTGCACACTTAACACATGTCAATCATCGTTATTTACGATATATACACACAGCTGAGACAAGATGTGAAGTACAGCACTTACCCATGAGTCAGCAAGCAGTTAAGGGCCAAACCAGCAGCAGTGGGAACTTAATCTTCTCACTTCCTCATTGCCTACTAATAGCTTCATTTGGGGGTTACCTGATACAGAAAAAGAGGGAATAAAACAGGAATGTGTTAAAAGCCATTTGTGGTTCAGGCCAGACTTCCTGCCCTGCCAGAAAATCTGCTTGGAGGGAGATCACAGGAGAACCAATCAGAAAGCCTCTTTAAAGGCATTTGTTTAATGCAGTTCTTTGAATTGTTTTTTTTGAGGACTACAGATTGTTATACAGTCTGTTAGTCTCCTACCTTGAACTGACACTGTGGCATAGAAATAAAGCAAGCGTTGGACTAATTAATTGTTAAAGGGCCCCTGCATCTCATTTCGTGAAACCAATGGCTGAGCTGTGCCTTTGCAGTAAGTACCCTGATCATCAACTTAACTTGTGACAGAGAAGCAGCAGCAACACTAGAGTCACTGGGGAGAAGAGCCTTTTTCTAGGCCCACAGATTGTCTCCAATGATTACTATAACTCTGAAAGGGGGTGATATCATGTCCATTATAGGTAAGGAAACTGACTCACAGGTTACCCAACAAACATTAGATTTAATTCTAACTTTGTTCTCTTTGTCTTGAAAACCCGTGTCCTTTCCACTTTACTGTGTGGTCTCATAGTGGGAAGCAGTAATGAACATCTAAAATCTACAGATCCAGGCTGCAGATTTTAGGGGACAAGGAAGTGTTCCTATGATAGGGTCTTTGGGGAAGGCAGCATGGGGCTCTGTAGGAAGAATGCTCTTGAGGAAAGATGCCAGTTGCAAAAACAGCAAATTGCACAGCTTAACTGAACTAATAACTATGTGCAGGGAGAGGTGCTGAAAATTTATACTGAAGCTGAAATGTATTATAATAGATTCCAGAAAATTGAACCACAGTTATCACTGGTGCTCTATGCTTTCTCTTCTTAAATTCAGATAGGACTTAGCTAATTAATCTATGTAGCAACACTCTACTAAAGACTTGCCACTAAAATTTGCCATTACAATACCACATTTCTGGGCTACTTGTCTTCTGAATCTTGGATATTTTCACTTACTCTTGGTTCTCATTAACTCCCTTACATTATAACAATGGGTTGTGAGCAAAGGTCACAATCCTCAATGCTCAGCGGCCAGGCAGTTAACATACGTGTGTAAGATACAGAGACAACTAAAAGACACTGGTAGGGACTTTGGCTACCTGGATAATACACTTCCCATCTAAGGCATTCAAACTCAGACTTTTGACAAACATGGCTTTTACCAGTTTGGCTTACAAGCTGCCTGCACGCAATATCGGTGTTTATATAAATGTAATATTCTCTAACATTACCAAGGATATATTATGCATTATTCTAACGGCTTTACATCTATTAATTCATTTAAACCTCACAGCAACCCTATGGATTGGGGAAATGAGAAGCATTTTTATTTTACAGATGAGAAAACTGAGGTGCAGAGTTAAATTGTTTACTCAGATCATTCAGAGGTAGAGCCAACATTTGAACCTAGACCAACATTTGAACCAGTGTGTATGGTCTGAAGCACCATAGTATATTCCTGGACCTTGGAAGACACTGCTCATGATGAATGATTTACTGCTCATGACCATAAAAATTTAGAACCACATATTGGTGAAACCTAGATCTCAGCCAATTCTACTATAAAAAGCTGTAATCTGTTCAACCTATTTGTTGCACACCTACTATGCACAATGTACTGGGTACCATCCAGGCAGCCTCCCTGACCAAAGTCAGAAAAATACATCCATGTGCTTGCAATTTAACCATCATGACTCCGGACTAAATCTACTGGCTATTCCTCACATTATTCAGCCAAAAGCAAAAACTAATCAAGCCTCTGTCTGGATACGATTACCTGTCAACAAAACAGAAATTCCATTTAAAAGCTGTTACTGTAAATTAGATGTTTGAATGTTGGTGGGAAATGAGAGGTCTCAGAATCGTAATTTTGGTCAATATACTTATTTATAAAAATTATCACCATCTTGACCATGGTTACCTCATCCAATCAGTCTAGACCCTAGAGCAGTACTCCTGAAAGCCACTTGTTTCATACTCATCAGGAGCAATTATTTAAAATGGAGACTAATGTGCAGTCCTGCTGTATCAGAAACTTTTGCAATGGGACTCAGAGATCTAAATGGTCAAGAAGTTCTCAGTATTTTGCATACTCCCCAAAGTTTCAGAACCACCAGTGAGACAAAGGATGAGAAAAGGATACCTAAATGACTTTCAGAAATGTTGAGGTCTGTAAAAAGTTATTTGTACTAAAGGATAAATTTATGGTTTCTAAAATTAGATATCGTAGGTTCATATGTGTTCAGATGATAAATGACCATATTTTAAAACACAAAAATGTCACTGTACTTTGAAAGTTACATTTGAATAATTTAACCCTCTAGGATTATGCATTTACATTTAAATCTCTAGAGAAATATATCAGAATTCCCTTCTGCAATGAACAACAACAAAACCAAAGTGTTCAACACCCAAAAAACAAATAGATCAGTTTAAAGATGGACAGAAGACATGAACAGACACTTCTCTAAAGAAGACATCCAGGGGCGCCTGGGTGGCGCAGTCGGTTAAGCGTCCGACTTCAGCCAGGTCACGATCTCGCGGTCTGTGAGTTGGAGCCCCGCGTCAGGCTCTGGGCTGATGGCTCAGAGCCTGGAGCCTGTTTCCGATTCTGTGTCTCCCTCTCTCTCTGACCCTCCCCCGTTCATGCTCTGTCTCTCTCTGTCCCAAAAATAAATAAAGGTTGAAAAAAAAATTTTTAAAAAGTAAAAAAAGAAGACATCCAGATGGCCAACAAACAAATACATGAAAGGATGCTCATCATCACTCATCATTAGGGATATGCAAATCAACACTACAATGAGATATCACCTCACACCTGTCACACATTAGCTGAAATGAAAACAAAAAACAAAAAAAACAAGTAACAAGTGTTGGTGAGGATGTGGAGAAAAAGGAACACTTTTGCACTGCTGGTGGGAACGCACACAAGTGCAGCCAGCATAGAAAATAGTATGTAGTTTTCTAAAAAAGTTCAAACTAGAACTACCTTATGATTCAGTAATTGCACTACTGGATATTTACCCAAAAAATACAAAAACACTAATTCAAAAGATTACATGCACCCTATGTTCCTAGCAGCATTATTTATTATAGTCAAACTATGGAAGTAGCCCAAGTGTCCATCAATAGATTAATGGATAAAAAAGAGGAGGCATATATATACAATGGAATATTATCCAGCCACAAAAAAAGAATGAAATCTTGCCATTTTCACTGACATCGATGGAGCTAGAGAGTATTTTGTTAAGTGAAATAAGTCAGTCAGAGAAAGACAGATACCATGTGATTTCACTCGTATGTGGCATTTAAGAAACAACAAACGAGCAAAGAAAGAAAGAGAGAGAGAAACTAAGAAACAGACGGTTAACTATAGAGAACAAACGGATGGTTACTTTAGGGAAGGTATGTAGGGGGAATTGGTAAACAGATGATGGGGATTAGGAAGGCACTTGTTGTCATGAGCACTGGCTATTTTGTGGCAGTGTTGAATCACTATATTGTACACCTGAAACTAGTATTACACTGTATGTTAACTATCCTGGAATTAAAGTAAAATAATAAAAATAAATAAAAATGAAAATAAATTTTCAAAAATTTAAAAATAAAACAAAAAACCTGAAGTGTTTTAGACAAATAATAGTTTCTTTTTCTCAGATAACAGTAAATCCAGAGACAGGCAGCTGCAGGCAATGGTCCAACTGCTCTACTTTGCCCTGAGGAAATTCTAGATCTCTGTCCTGTTTCTCCATTCTTAGCATATAAAATCGTTGCCTCATTTTCACAAAATGGCAGCTTTTGCTCCAGCAAAGCATTAAAGGCAGGAAAAGAAGAAAAGGAGAAAGGCATTGCCAGTTGTATAGGTTCCAATACCCTCCCAGCAGATATCTACTTAGGTTTCATTTATTTGAACTTTGTCACAAAATCATACCACCAGAAGCTGAAAAACTGAAAACAAGATGGTCATGATTGGTTTAGACCAGGAGTCAGCAAACCACATCCCATTCCCATGGGCCAAATGCTGCCTTCCGTCTGTTTTTGCAAATAAAACGCAGCAACACACATCCTTTTTTATCTATAGGTGTTTTCACACTACAACAACAAAGTTGAGGACTTGCAAAATAAATCTCCTGGCCCACAAAGTCTAAAATATTTACTGTCTGGTCCTTTATAGAAAGTTTCCTCTCCCTGGGTTTAGACCAATAATGATCCATTATATGCATCTGGGAACATCACTGCACTAGCAGTCCTGGTGGCAGAAATATGTTTTGGGCAAACGATACCAATGTTTGTCACACTGTGTTTTCTCAAGTAACATTCTTGCTTAACTGCCCCATCTAAAAAAAAAAGAAAAAAAAAAGGTACTCTGATAAAGTTGTATCTATCTAGAAGTCCTTGTTAGTATTGACTGTGAAAACATATAAGAAATATTTACAACAGTCCTACCACATAATAAAGGCTCAATAATGTTAGCTACGGGTGCTACTATTCATATAAAACCTACTGCATTTGCCTTTCACTTTCTTGAAGTGCCACCGGAACTACCTTAGCCTATAGCAACTATTGAAAGTCACTTCCATTTAAAAATTATAACTACAGGAATTGTATTTTTTTGTAACAGCCTTTCTGTTAGTAGATTATGGTAACATGAACTTGAAAGCACATTCTAAATGTGTATAAACACAGCCACTGATTAGTTAAGTGTTCCAGACCCCACAAATTGACTTAGACATATTTACCAGATATTATCTATCATCAAACGCAAGAACTTCTTCACTTAGTTCATACATACAGTGCAGTAATCAATGCATCACCAGAAATCTGTAAAGAAAATGTTTTGGGAGGCTTTCTTGCTGATGTGCTGCTGTTTTCCAATAGGGTTTTTATCAGGCCTTGGATAAATATTTCAGTAAGTCACATGCCTTTGGAATTGTCTTGAAATAATTCTTTGCAAAAAGG